GAAAGAGTGATGAGAAGTGGAGGGAAAATCTGCCACTCATTTCTGTTGAATGCTGAAAAGCTCAACTTCTTTGTGTGTCTGTTGGAGTAAATTAAATCCAGTGCTTCACTGGCTCAATCCAGCTTTCTGAAAAGTTAGCTAAACAACACCAGTTCAGCCATTTTAACCATTCTTTGCCCAAAGCACTGACAAGGTAGAGACGCACAAATACCAAATGACATAATTTTAACTGATATTTTAAAAAAATATTTTAAAGACAACAAAACTTTTACTACTTTTTCTGGCAGAAAACTGATGAACTGATTCTCTAGTACGTCAGTGAGTGGCTTTATAGCTGTTCACCTGTCTGTCTGCAATGTAAATCATGGTAGAACGTGACATGCTCTTTTCTTCAAGGGTAATGGATAGCACAAACCTGATCCAGATTTGGTACATATCCTTTATGCAGATAACAAACCAAAAGGCAGCAAAATCATCTTTTCTGATTTTGTGCTCCTTCTCCCAGGATCATGAAACACAGATAGTTAACAAAATTCACATCTTAGAAGAGCAGAGTACTATAAAACCGCCATGTTTGGCAAATGCTTCTCCGTACCAGTGCCAGAGTATCTGCTGTTGTCCAACAAACAGCACATTTGTTCCACCACCAGTGTTGTCAATATTATCTGTGTCAAATAACTCACATAAAGTTGATCATGGATGTTGGCACCGTGCTTCAACAGAGTGTCCACTACTTTTGCATGCCCGTACTGACAAGCAGCTAGAAGAGCAGTACCTCCATCCTGTGAAAAAGCAAAGAATGGGTACAGTCAGGTGAGAGGGCAGGTGCTGGATTAAACATCACCATAAAACATAAGCAAATTTTAAGGCTTTTCAGAATTTGGCTCACAGCACTTCTGTAGTGACTAGCTACTGAATCTTCTGTAATTTTAGTACCAAGTCTTGCCCCATAAATCTTTAAACTTGGCTCTGTCGCTATAAACATTTCTCTCCTGAGGCTTTTTTAGCAAGGGACAGGAACCAAGAAAATTCTGCTTTTTGTTCCTCATCTTCTGCCTTCCCACTAGGAGCTTTGTTCCCTTCACAGCTGCAAGCTCCTGTGTGTCTCTCCCCTTTACAGCCAAATCCCCCACCCCTGCAAAACTCTTCCACCTCTTGAAGGACAGCACACCTTTCCCCTGCTCCAAAGCCTACTGATTATCTACTTTTTTTTTGGCCAGAACCTCATGCCCTGTCGTGTCCTGCCTCTCACCTGCCAATTGTTGGCTTGAAGAAGAGTAGGGAGGACACATTTTAAAGCAAGCTAGCAAACTGTAGAAGTGTGCATCAGACCAAACCGATGACCACCTGTGAAAGCCCCATTACTTCTTCTGAAGAAGTGATCCTTGAAGGTAGGAGCAATCCCAGGCGGATATAGTTACTGCACATCACCACTAAAGGGAGACGTAGGCACATTCATCAAATCCTGCAGGTAGAGACACTCCCTTGGGAGCCGTCTGGGAAGGGAAACACCTCAGTGACATTAACAATTGACTCCAAGCCAGCTGAAACAACTAAGATAGCAAATGTTGGTCTTGCCATGTTGTTAAATGCACTGTGCCCCACTCAAAAATTACCATTATTTCTGACACTCATATGGAGAGGAAGTTTTTATCTTCTGCCTGGGATGGCACCATGCCATCGTGCAAGGATGACGCACACCCCAAGTCATCCACACCAGAGGTCTTCTCTCTCCTTCCTTGCCTTCTCCCAATCTCAAGCCCCTCCTCCACAAGATAAGCTATCTAAAGTATTTCAGACAAATGGTTTCTAGAGCTGTTATTAACATGGGCAAAAGATTGTGTTTTCCCTCAGCCTTGTCCTCTGAAACAGCTCCAAAGTTTTGTCTGAAATTTTCCACACAGACGGATATCCACAAGAGAAGTTACAGCTCAAATGGCCAAATGGATCTTTTACAATGGGAAGTGCCAATCAAATTTATTAATCTGTGGTGCTATTTCATGCCTATAATAACCTCATGAAAGCTCAAGCTCTGACATGACTGAACTAACCCAGAGGGACTGTCTATAGTTACTCTCAAAACCTCATATACACCCTTCCTCCCTCCGATACTGAAAAGCAAACAAGGTTTGAGTGTCAGCAAAGTCACAGATGTGGAGCTGTTATGTGACAATCTAAGAATTGCATATTAATTCTGGATCATTTGAGTAAATACAGTGTGTAATCAGGTCAGTGGAATTAAGTCACTCTATAGCTACAAGGAGTCATTAGACTTCCTTGTGAAATTAAACTACCCTAATTTAATAGGAACTGCTGGAACAAAACACAAAAGCAACCACAATGGTTCTTGGATTAAAAAACACCTAATACACACTTAAAAGACAATGGCAAAAGCTAATAGCTTCATGAAACCTATTTCCTGTCTCCAACCAGCTGAAAGCCATTTTGCTCGATTAGTGAGTTACCAGATCAAAGGGTTACAAACAAAAACCAGAGACATTTTTAAAGACTTGGGGAACTGAAGGAAACAGAGAAAGGTTAGTGAGTTAAGAAGAGAAACTGTGCTATCCAGATGGGAGGTCCTCTGTGGAGAGGCAGGGAAAGATGAGCTTTAGGAAGCTTAAAAATATTGAGGTTCCCTGTATGGTGGGTCAGTAGACATGCTCAGTTAGCTGTATATGGGAATAGTTTGTTTATTGCTTTACAGTCTGGTTTTTGTTTTCTAAAATTTTTGTGTTCTTAACAAACTCCTGTTATTTTAAGAAGATTGTTTGGCTATTAATGTAATTTCTGGGGGGAACCAAATGACAGGTCCCAAATAAAAGGCAGGCCTGCAAAGCTAACCGCAGTCAGCACAGCGGAGCTGACGCTCAGCGCTTGGACTACAACTGTGTGATCTTGGGAGCTGACTTGGGAGATGTCACAGCTTGAGGTTTAAGAAGGGAGACACTTCTCGCAGGATACGTCCAAGTGTCTCAAAATGGGGATCCTGACCAAGTGTTTGGTTGAATCAAATGAACAGGTTTAGGCAGATATGTTTTTGGAATGAATAACACATCTCCAAAATATATGATTTAAATCTTTCAGACTAGAGTGACCAAGTTTCCTAGATCACCCTGATCAGAGTCTAGGGATCAGAAAAAAACCCCACATTTGGTGGTCCCCAGTTCCAGCTGAATCCAATATTTACAGGGCCAGGGAGAACTGGGTAACAACTCCTTGACTCAAAGATTTAGATCCTGATCAGGAAGACAGCTGGGCTTTAAGACCCACTCTACTGTGTCTCCTATGAAGTTGGATACACTCAAAAGAAGAGACAGAGATTAATCTGAACACTCTGACAGAGACATGTCTTGCTGCAAGAAAAGGGCAGTTGGGACCAGAAACCTTTTTCACTGAAAAGGCCGTGCAGTAAGACAGCACTCAAACTGAGGGACTGTCAAGCAGTGTGAAGGTCCATGGTTTCTTAGGAGGAGAAAACCTCAGCCCCCTCCCACCCCTACTGAGCTTATGTCTTTCTTTCTCTTACACTTTCTTCCCTCTTTGCCAGCACAAGAGCCTTTTCTCCAGCATGCTGTAGCTGGACACCCCAATGTTATACAGACCACTGGGAAGGCAGGTGAGTTATGGTGTGTGGGGGGGGAAGAAGTAAATGACAGTTTTAAAATCCCTTTCAGCCATGTGATTGCCTCTTTCCTTTTTGGCTTCAGCTGAGACGAGTAAAAAGCTGAAGCAGCATCTTTGGTACTGGCAAGCCTCTTGGAAACTCTGAGGAGGGCAGCAAGTGGGAGCAGGGACACGTGAGCAACCACAGAGGCCCTCCGAGGGTCACAATGGGATAGGTGGGAAGCCAGCGGTGCAGCTGAGAGAAGGCACACTGCCTTGGGTTTATTTCTTGCTCATATCCTGTTTTCCTGACACAACGTAGCGCCTATTAATCCTGCCCTGCAAACCCTTCCAACTCTGACAGGAGCCAGTTCTCTCAGCTACCTCTGCAATTCTTCATCTGAAACCATTTTTCTTACGCCCCCACTGCCTGTCCTCCCCAGTGGCAGCACATACAGTAGCTGCCAATCTCTCATGGAAGCACTTGATAAGGCCACACTATATGGTGTAGACTTCCCTGTCTATTTGCCTACCTCTTCCTTCACCTCTGTCGTCATCACCTGAAAGTAGCTTAGAATTATGTGGTGGTTTATGACCTCAGAAATAATGCTACAAGGTAGGGGAACTGATCTTCTGCAGGCGCTACCTGCTGAAAAATAGCCTCTGACGCACCGTTTGACCTGCAGTATTGGTCAGAAAACATGCCCCCAGGCAAACCCTTTTAAGAACCCACATGCTTAGAACATGTCTCAGAGTAAGAAAAGAGAACATGTTTCAATTTATGGTGCATACTTCTAGGGATGTCAGACAATGCAGAATAATCTTGTTGAGTAATATGTATTTTATTTTATATATATAATAACCTTCAATAGTACTATTCATTCTCTTTACAAGATCAGCAATTATTGCTAATTACTTTATTACACTGTTTTAGAACATGCTTGCTTCACCTGCTGCAGTGAATACCAACTCTAATGATACAAGGGGTGACAAGAATTGAATGCCTATATTAAGATAGTTCTTCATCACTCTCATATATGAGTAACGAATGTAGTAATTACAATTTACAGAGGTACACGAAAAAGAAGATATTGGGATTTGCATTTCCTAACTTTAAAGTCTCTGTTTCCTAGGATACATTCAATTTGTTTTGTTATTTCAATTCCATGTCTTCATTGATAACAGAAAGTTCTCTGTAAATTGATTAATTTTGCAGTGCCCTTTAAAACCAGACAGGATCAGCCATATGTTTTCCAGTGCTGCTCCCAGCTGTGTGCCTTAATCAGAAAATGCCTTATCTCTGACTGTAAAAGGCGTATTTTGTCAACTATATTGTTTCTGGGGTCTGGGGGAGATGGAGGAGCCTGTTATCTTAGTTGCCTGTTAACAGAAAGATGGTTTGATGGAATAATTCCAAGCTACAAAAACCATATTATTAAACCAGAAATGGAACAGACACAAAACCACACTAGAAGGCCAATGGAAAATGCATACTGCCAACCCAGTACATTCTCAATGGTGCCTTCTGCTCAGGTACACACTGCTGCACAAAGTACAAGGTGTCTTCCCACGCAGACCCAGTCTAAAAATTCAGTGGGTTACCAAAGCCCAGTCTGGAAGATATAAACGTTTGGGTTCCTGAACCAGACCCAGGCTCTGCCATCTGTGCTTTTGGCTATTCTAAGAAGATTTTGAAAAAGGACCTGCCTGAACAAAGAAATAGAAGCTCTGAGATGCATTTTGTCTCGTCACAGATGAGTAAATGGGAATTTAGGGAGGACTGAACCCATTATACTCTTACGTATCCTATGGTGGTATGCAGAGACATCCCAATGTAGGCAAAATTTCAGTCTGTGCAAGTGAAGTACATATACACCTAAAATGGGATCCTACCTAACTTATACAAAAAGAGCCTTTGTTCTTGTATTGGAGGATGGCTTAAGAGGAAAGACTGATATCACTATCAAGGGACTCATCTTTGATCAACTTATGCCATTAAGTTTAGGTAGTAAAATCTAGTCACCAAGTTAATATTTTGCCAATATGTTGCATTACTTCTATTAGTCAGAAAACGTTCAGGTGAGGAAATCTTTTAATCATCTTCCTGCTGCCATGTCATGTTTCATGTGAATAGGAAAAAACAACCTTGACTGTCAGAATGTATCAGCATGCAAAAATAGACCCAGGATCTTACTTTATTCTTAAATTCAGTGGAGGCTCCAAATTCAAAGAGAAACTTCACTACATCATTGTGGCCTTGTTGTGCAGCAAAGAACAGAGAAGTTGCACCTGACTGTAAGGAAAAAATGGATTAAAAAAACCCTAAACACATAACACGCTTGACTGACTTATCTACATTTCAAATTAAAAAGTATTGGGCACAATCAGTTGAATGTCAACTGAAAAGACGTTATGATTTTGAGGACTCCAGAGGATACCAGGTATCTTAGGTCAGTTTTCTTCCCATTGCGCTGAGATATGTGTCCAGCATCATACATTTGAGCAAAATCCAAGTTTCACAAGGGGCTTCTGCACAGAGTTTCTAATATAGGCTAAGAATGCCCTCACTTCTACCCAGTCACCAGAAAGGGAAAGCAAGCCCAGAGGGAGAAAAGAAAAGTTTTGCACAACAGAGGAACAGCCAATTTGAAACCAACTTCTATTCCACCTGCCGATACAACCTGAGACAAATAGGAGCATGGGATGGATTTGGATCAGGGTGTGGAAAGACCAGGGAGGTGGTTATTTGGTAAGAAAAAGCTCCACCTGCCTTGACTTTCTGCTGACAAAATGTGACTGCTGTTGGTGTAAGTCATCCTTGTGTCTTGCAGCAGCAGCTCCCCACCCAGCCAAGCAGCCTTCAAGCAACTATAACCAACCCTGCAAAGCCTGCTTTCCCTTAACCTCGCTGAAGAACTTAACCCCCATATTTTATACTAGTTATACAAAACACTGTCATTAATACGTGAGTAAATCAGGGCCAAAAAAAGGATACGTAAGATTTTAATGGGTGGACAGAAGGAAAAAGGAAGGGAAGGAAGGGAAAGAAGGGAGAAAGAGAAAGAAAGAGAGAAAGACAGAGAGAAAAAGAGAGAAAGAAGGAGAGAAAGAGAAACAGAGAAAGAGAGAGGAAAAGAAAGAAAGAAAGGAAGGAAAGAAAGAAAGAAAAGAAGGAAGGAAGAAAAGAAAGAAAGGAAGGAAAGAAAGGAAGAAAGGAAGAAAGGAAGAAAGGAAGAAAGGAAGAAAGAAAGAAAGAAAGAAAGAAAGAAAGAAAGAAAGAAAAAAGATAAGCAGGCTTTCTTGACTTGAGGCTCTCTCATACCATGCATAAGGTGCAAGAAAGGGGAGGTACGCATGAAATTCACTCCAGTGCCCAAAGCCTTTACAATAGCACATGGCCCCCTGAGACCATTACAGAGCCCCCTCTCCCAGACAGACTTCCCCAACTCCAGTGTACAAGAGCACTGGTTTGAGTATGTGGGTTCAGTTTCACAACAGTGCCGTTGGTCTTTAGGGCTTCAGCTTCCTCTGTTTTGCTTCCTTTCTGCAACAGAGTGATTTTGGAGGATTTCAGTGTTTCTCTTTTGGTTGGCTTGCTGAAACCGTATGTCCTGAGCAATACTCAAGAGCAGCTCCATAAAACTGTTCTCAAGTTTTCCTTTTGTTGCTGCTTTTCAAGCAATGTTTACCTAAGGGAAGGGACATGTTAAATACATGTTTTGTTGGAACAGGACCCCAGTGAAAGACACTGACAATCATAGTTAGAGCAAGTTAAGGCCAGTAAGTGCAAAGACACTTATATCATTGAATATGGCATTCACTGACTCAGTAACTCACAGATGTCAAGATGAGATTAATGGTCTAGTTCCAGGTAACCAAGGAAAGAGAGAAACATTGGCTCGTATTGTTAAAGCAACGAGCACACTGCTGTCCTGCACTGCCTGCCACCATCCCATGTTACTGCATGCCCTCCTTACACTGCTCTGCTCTTACGACCAGTACAACTGCTGTCCCAGAGCCATTCTGCTCTCTGTGTAGCCACCACACAGGCCAGAGGGGCTGCAGGTGTTCCTTACAACCATTTGCATGGAGTATGAGGGGAAGGCACTTTCCCAAAACCAGCCGCTGGCGTCTCTTCCACAAGCAAGCATGTCACGGTGTGAGAGATGCCTTGCATGCAATGCAGAGACGTAGGGAAGGGTACGGGTGATTAAGCTGTGTGATTGTTAGAGATGAGTTGGCTCAGACTAAGAGGCAGAAAGTCCAAAGCATACAGAGTCAAAGTAATCCCCAGACCAGCTATGGCATCCACTCTATTTTAATGACCAGATTCTACAAATCAAAAGGTAAAGGACTTCTCCTTATCGTTTACCCCATCCAGAGAGCTGTAAATTCCTGTGCCAATAAGTAAAATTGCAGACGGGTATATGGTGTAATCCTGGGGGATTACAGCTCAGATTTAACTGACCCTCACCAACCAGATGTGCTGGAAATGTTTGATGAATTATTTATAAATGTACCCCTAGCATCTCATTCTCTATTATAGACTCCAAACATTTGATTCCTTGATGTCCTCAGGAGAACAGATCCTGTTTATACATGCACTGCATAGCAAGCAACAAATAAGCAGTTGGCAAAAAGCAACAGACAACACTCTTATTATTTCTAATAAACCAACAGCCACTTAATCACTCCCTGTTTGAATGCACAACTTCTCCTACCTCTCTCTGCAGATTGATATCTGCTCCTTGCAACACCAGTTCCCGTACACAATCTATGTGGCCGTAGTAAGATGCCACCATCAGAGCTGTAGTGCCAAGCTGGGAGTAAGGAAAAACAAGTCAGTACCTTCAACAGACACCTCCAGCTGTCCAGAAGAGACAGCACTTCTTCTGAAGCTGAAGGAAGCTTATGATCATTGAAAAACCCACTGCCATTTAAAATTTACTATCAGAAATACTTTGGAAATAAGCAAATAGCAGGTGTTAAAGCAAAAACATTATAGACTTGCCTGCAGTCCCAAGGCCTGGCCATTCAACGCATATGTGCAATGACTTCTCCTTGTTGTCCCAAAATAAGTGCAACAAAAATAACACCAATATTTTTCATTTATACAGAGAATCTCAAAGATCTTTGTATCATTTCCAGAAGAACAACCTTAGGCAACCTTAGGCACAGGAGCTGAGTGACTTAGCTGAGTCACTTAATCATGAGTCACAGTCAGGGGTAAGGTCTGGGTGATTTAATACTCATTCCCTATCCAAATGATCAGAGTAAACTCACTGTGACTCCTCACATTATATGAGAGAACTTTCCATACCAGACTATGTGTTCAGGTTCCCTCAGTACCCTATATGGTTACTGGTCCAGTAAACCAAATAAGATTTAGGTTACATATATGTAGTGGATGGACAATATACAGGAACCGCATGCATAAGGATGAAATACATCCTTCTAAAACATTCACACCCACCAGTTCAATCTAAAGAAGGGATGTGTGACTACAAAAAAAGACGCATGCAGCCTTAACTGTACAAAGATATTTTAGTCTAGAAAATGTGTATGCCTGATATAATTAATAAGTCAGGATATTTTACAACGTATTGTAAAAATTCTTGATCAAGCCTACCCTTATTTTGAGGAAAAATGAGCAGTAGTGGACATTATTTCTTTACATTGATCTCTGTCCTGCTTACTTCACGCCCTCATCTGAACATCCTTCCCTCCCTGTCAGACACCCATAGCATCAGCTCCAGAAGTACTGCAAAACAAATACTTGCCTACAGGGCAAAAATGAAATGAAAATGAAAATATAGGTTAAAGTCAATGGGCTTAGAAAACCTCTTGCATTTTGAATGTATTCAAAATGAGAGGAGCTGCAGCAGGTTCAGGGACTTTTTACAAGGGCGTGTAGTGATAGGATGAGGGGGAATGGCTTCAAACTGGAAGAGGGTAGATTTAGATTAGGTATTAAGAAGAAATTTTTCACTTTGAGGGTGGTGAGGCACTGGAACAGGCTGCCAAGGGAACTGGATGCCACATCCCTGGAGGTGTTCAAGGCCAGGTTGGATGGGACTTTGAGCAACCTGGTCTAGTGGAAGGTGACCCTGCCCATGGCAGGGGGATCGGAACTAGATGGTCTTTAAGGTCTCTTCCAACCTAAACCATTCTATGAATCTCTGATTCTATGATTCATATTTCAGGCTGTCAGTGGCGCTAATCCTGTACAACACAGGCACGACTCTCAGTAAGTCAGTCCCAGCACCAAACCAGGGAAGTTCTCAACCTTGGTTTTCCCCTGCTTTTTGCCATAGCTTACTACAACCAAGTATCTCTCCATATGCTGTAGGCAGAACAGCAAGACATACCCATTATTCACATTTTCAACCCATTTCTAATCTCAAAACTAATTTCAACCCATGCCAGTTACAGTAAGGAAATCCCCATGAAATCTTTCTGTCATGTGTCTGGGCTCCTTTTTGCTTGGAGATTGTACTGTGGCTTCATGTTGGTGCCAAGTCCAGGAGATACTGGGGTGGGAGGGAGGACGAAGTTAGGAGGCCAGCAGTTCTTCTGACGGCACCGCTGGGTGTAGGATGCTGCATGCCACACAGGGTGGGAACAGCTGCACATCAAACGCAAACTTTTACATTGTCTAAATGAAAACTATGGTCCAGGGTTGTTTGGTTTTTTTTGAAAACTAATTATGAGGAGCTCTGCTAGCTGACAGAATCATTGCTGCTTGGGTTTGGTTGAGTTGACTCTTCACTGTGATCTATTACTACAATGACATTTGCTCGCAAAGAGAAGCCCGAGGTGCTAGGATCTGTGTTTTTAATGTCAGCGCCACAAATAACTGTGTAAGACACATTTTTCAATGCTGGCAAATTCCTAACCCCTTGCCACTGATGTAAATCATCACGCTATTTTATCTTGAGTTTCAAACTTGCTTCCTGACAAGAGAAGGTTTTAAATCACCCCTAAGTGCCATAAGACTCTCAAATGTCTCGTGTTAGATCCCTGCCACACCCTCGGTGCAGCGGGCTATGGAAAGCGATGTAAAATCAGTGCCGTGGGTGTAGGGGCATTGTGTGCATACGCTGTCTTTGCAGTCCACATCTACTCGCCCACTGTTCAGCAGCAGCTGGAGGAGAGCCAGGTTGCCTTTTCTCGCAGCCCAAAACGCAGCATTGGCCAGTGGTGTTTCTTTCTGGTGAAGGGAAGAAAAAAAAAAAAAAGGAAGAGAAAAAAAAAAAAGCAGAAATAAAACACTTTGGAAGATGCATTAGACAAATGCACACATGCACATTCTGCATTCAAGCCAGGCAAGTTTCAGCTTAGTGTGCTGTTCTTTCAAAACCAGAGCACGGAAGGGAAGCTAATTTAATTTCTTTGCGCAATTAAAGAGATCAGTCTCCCTGTGCTACCTCATGTTGTTTCAGGTCTTCCCTGTGTCCATGGCAGCCTATGACTCTTAGCTCGTTCTGTAATGAGAGACAACAATGCTGGTTCGGATCCACAGGGAAACGTCACAGAAAACAACGTGCTAACTGGTACCTGTATTGTCTGCTTCTGTGGTGGGGCTGGGCACAGTTAGAGAGGCTGAATCATCCTGCTGGCATGTCCTGCTGCAGGACATCCTCCTGGGTTTCAGGTTAGCTCTCTGCCGTCTCCTTCTTTTCTGCACATAAAGTCCCAATATGGGAAAAGTACTGCTCGTGCATCTCCCATAGTGTTTGGTCTGCCTCCTCCCTGGAATTAGCACCCTGTAACTGTGGGCATGTGAGCTATCTCCTGGGTGATGCTAGAGAAAAAAAGGCTAAAATCTTGCTGTCTGTAGACTTAAGAATCCATTTACTAGGTATGCACGGCAATATGTAAGGCAAAATTAGGAAACTCTGAAATCTACATAATACAGGCCACTGTTAAACAAATTGGTAGTAATATAATACTCTTTTGAGGCTTTCTTAGTCCTAGAAACGATGCCGCGGCGTGAATTCTCCTGGGTAGGAGCAAATTATCACTGCCCTGGCATAGCAGGAGGAAAGCAGAAAAAGACAGACTTTTCTCCTGCCCCCCACCCCCCCCCCATCTGATCCATGCAGGCACCTGCCAAAAAGCTGCCCTGACAGGTATGCTCTGCAACGGGTGAAGTGCGAAGGGTAAATAACGCTGTGATGGCAACAGTACGTATCCTAAAGCAGGCTCATGACACTGTTTTTTTTTTATAAGACCCAAAACCACCAACAGTTCCGTAAAGCATCCTTTCACTGATTGTCATCTTAGACCAAAAGTGTCAAAAATACGCGGGGGCCTTGCTCTCCAGTGAATCCTGCCTTGAGGATAACCCGAAGAGGGTGCAGAGTGGATATAAATGTCAATCATTCTGCTTCAGAAAATGTAATACACACTTCTCCATGCCTAAATGTCAATGTGCACGTGTAATATGGTAGAGAATCAGGATTGAATGGGTTTATGGTTGATACTTAAAATGCATACATAGAGCAGAGTGTAAATTGCTTCCTTCCCTGACACGCAGGTAATAAACCTCGCAGAAACCAGCAAACACAAGACCAGTCCTGTGTGAATCCATCCCAGATCTGTCGCACTGTGCACTTCCCATGGGTTGCATTTTTAATATTCATAGGTTGGAAAATTGGCAGCTGTTTTGAGTCGAGAGGTGTTTCAACCATTCAATGAATTATAAGACGCTTGCTATAAACTGATAGTGATATTTCTTGCACCCACGCACGTAGGGGCAGAAGTCTAGAAAATTTAGCAAGCACAATAGGCTAAATTCTGGTCTTCCTTTTACAAGTAACACATTTCCCCCAGTGAATCTGTAGATAATGTCCATCAAAGCAGAGCAAGCATTTTATACCCTCCTTGCTGGCAATGCAGTAGTGTTTTCCTATCTTTACCTTTACAATCACTATAATTTTATTTAAAAGCAAACAATTGACCTAAACACTCGGTAGCCCATGTCGCCCTTTTTTCTCTGATTTATTAGGCAGATATTTATTTATAGAGCTGGTAGTTAGGAATATTGTCTAATTGTCTTTATTACTACGATATTCAGTGGAAAGCTATTGCAAAAGAATGATATTCAGACCTTACAGAATGGGAAATCAAATTCCTGACCTTTTATTGTCTCACTCTATCTCCGAAAGTTTTAGAATGCTTTGGGGTATGGCAATATATCCATACAGGGAAAGATTGATGTCATCCAGCCTGGTTTTTGCTACGAGGGCACAGTAGCAATGTGACTGTGTTTTATTATGCCTTTATTGATCAGGTAGGCAGGAAGCAGAATCAATATTCAGGAACTCTTTACTTGCTTTCATCCATTTACATGAGGACAGAAGAGAACTAAGTTGCCAGAGTTACCTTAGTCTGGAAGTAGAAGTCCAAAGGCTTCAGCCTTATGAGTCACAAATTCCTACCTCTTTTTCCCCCACCCTGAAATTCCTACAGTAGCACTCCAGCAAAGTTGTCCTCGTATTTTGGATCAGACCCAAGGAATGGAAGAATTCTCCAGTGCATCAAGGACACAAAATTAGGTTTTTCCCCTTGGTGTTTTTGACCCAATTAGAAGTAACTGCTATCACTACTTGTGCTTCCCCTCGTGTGCCTGCGTTGCTGGGGATTCCTTGTTTAAGAGTATACAGCACACTCAGACCATCAACCATGTAGTGATTAGATAAAAAAGGCAAACACAAATCTGAGCTATTTCACCTTCTAAAATGAATGGAATGTGCAAAATCATTCCGATGATTTGGGCACCCTGCAAGGACAGCCTCAAGGACTACCATGTGGCAATTTCTCTTCTGCTTTCAAACCAAGGATTTATACCTCTGTCCTCTTCACTTTCAGGTGATATCAGCAATACTGACATCACTAGCAGACAAAATGTAAGACACTACTTTGGGATTAATAATCTGATTAACTGCATAATTTTTAGAGCAATAAATGGGTTTTAAACTGCAGGATAAGACATAAACCTTGTTCAGTTATGAATTCAATCCTGTCTCATCAGATACTTATTAGGGAGAGGTAATGTTGACTTTCAAGAGATTACCTGGATACAATTTTCATGTAATCATTATTATAAAGCTAGTCTGGTCCTAAAAACTCCTTAAAATAAACAATTGACCCTCAGCATTGACAGTCTGGGAACAGAACGTAATAAACATTTGAAAAAGTGACTAGCTAATAGCTTTGGTGAAAATGACATGTTTCATTATGTCACTTGCTCCAGCATCAGCAACTTTCGGGAGACAATTTCCTCCACTTCATCAAGATCTGTAAAGCAAACTCTGGCTGTGCCATGCATTTTAATTGTTTATATGCTTTTACGAGAGCCCAAAGATGAAGAGCTGGCATTATATTCATGCTGTATTGACGTGAAGTAAAAATACTTACTCATAAATGGCCTAGAGGAAAATATACATTACACGTCTGACAAGACCCTTTCTATGCAGGAATAAGGAAAAATAAAATGTGATAATGTATCTGTATGTGTCATCTTAGGAATATTGAGGGGAAAAGTATCATCTAAATGCTGCGATCAGCAGCTCCCACTCCCTGCCCTACCTTTGACTGTTGGTTTGCAGAGAAGAGGCAGGTGACAGTGGGGTAACAGCTGAGGAGGAAAACTGCAGTTCTTAAACTGTGATCTTGAAGATGAAAGAAAAGAGCCAACAGGCAAAGAGAAAGAAAAGAGAGGAGAAAGAGAACAGTAGCCCAGTGGCTTTTTCCTTGAACTGTCAAAGTACAAGAAAATTCCCTATTCTTTCTCAGTTTCTAAACCAGTCCTAAGGTGAAGAAGGAATCAAGTAACAAGTTTTAAGATGAAGAACTGGAAACCAGGATCAGGCATGATACAATGGAAAATGTTAGTGGGACTTAGGAGGAAAGAGAGAGGACTTTATTAGAGAGCAATACATCCTACATGAAGGATCCTGATGAAGAAGAGAGGTCGTTCAAGACATAAATGTAAGTTTAGACAGGCAAGAGCTGGTAGGAAAAGAGAGGATATTCATGTGTGTGGACAGTGAGAAAGAAAGATAAATGGTACTTCATGGGTAAGTAGGATAATAAGATGGAAAACGTGAACAGACAGCAGCAAACAGACACGGTAGGAATCCACGCGCACAGTCTTCTGAGAGAAAGAGAAAATGCCAAGCAAAAAAGACACAGAAAAGAGAGAGAAAGCAGAGGGAGGTGGGGGCCGCAATTCTCCAGAGGGAGAGGGAGCAGGCAGTGAGCTACCTTGAACGGGAGTACTTGAGGGAATAAAAAGTGAGAAATAGGGCACAGAAAAGGAGCTGATAGGAACAGAACAGAAAAGAAGACCCAAAGGACAAGGTAAAAAATAAGGAGGCCAAAAAACGGAGAAGAGAGCAAGAAGATGGGGCTGGCACCACCAGGACCATGGGGCTAGCATCTGTTAGGGTGGATGCTTGTGAGAAATGAAGGTGGGAAAAAACTCACAGAGACAGAATAGGCTAAGACTAAGAAAAAAAAAAAAAAAAGCAGGTATGAGACCAGTGCAGGACCAAAAAGGGGATGACCACAGAGATTTCACCACTCGGTGTAAGGCTGAGCTGCACTGTGAGTAAAGGGACCCTGCTCCCTGCCACACCAGGGCTTTAACTGCAGGTGGAAACCACCTGCTGCACCACCACCATCGAACCAGCATGGTGCCACCGCAGCACCGGCGCTCCCGGGGGAGACACCTTGACAGGAGTGAGAGGCAAGTAGAGGGAATAATCCGTCAAATAAAGTAATGCAACATAAGCAACACGGCAAAGGACTGGCACAGAGCTGGTGATCAATAAGAGAAGGGCAAGCACAGCATCCAGAAAGTGCATGACTGAGAAGATGTACATCTCGCATAAATATTATCCGTTAGCATCAGTGAACTGCTACTTGCTTCCCTCTTTGCCAATTGATTTTATTAAGCCTGTCCTCAGATTAAAAAATTTATTTTAGGCGATCTTTGGAAAATTACTGCTCTTGTGCGGGTCTGGATGGGGGAAGCACAAAAAGCGACAGGAATCACAGCCAGAAAAGGGAACGAACCAGCCTGGCTCCAGCGGTCACAGCCTGAGAGGACGAGCGGGGATAAACGCTGCCTCCCAACTCTTACACAACCAGCACTAGCAGAGATGATGGAAAAAGTGAAGAGGAGCCTCCTGACTGCACCAAACCTCAGGGCGCTGAGCCCGGCCACCCTAAAGCCGGCGTCAAGCTGCATGGAGGCTCGCAGTTTTATGTAACACCAACCATGCAGCCTTTTTTGGGGGCGTCAGCTGTGGGAAGCATCCCCCTACCCCCCCACCCGCCCTCCATCAGCTGCCACCGCAGCACTCCCGCGGCACCCCGTACCCCGAGAAGGACGCTTCTGTTTTCTTTCCTTCTGCCCTAAACCACCCCCGTTTGGTTTTTTTTTTTCCTAAAAAATATAAATAAATAAAAAAATAGAAAGAAGAAAATAATAAATCGATCCCCAAATCCAAGAATACGACGGAGCA